TGTCTTTATAAATAATATAGACTAACTGAATCTATTTGAATAATCTCTAAAAATATGCTGATCTAAAAGTTTCTTCTTGACTAGATCCAGGGAAAGAGAAATATTAACTCTAGCGCTAGAGAAATATTGATGGTATTCATCCAAAATATTAATTGAAAATACAAACTTTTATCTTTTGCTAAAAATGTTTGTTTACTCCTTTATCTCTAGTTGATTAGAGTAGATAATTTATATATCTTTACCTAAGATGGGTAAAGAGATTTGGCCTTTTCAAAGTGTTCAGTGTACTCATTTAAGCTCCAGCTTTGTTGGTTTGAAGGAAGTTTGAGAATTTTTGTGACGGTAAGCCTGTAATTATTATGCATGGAGGACCCTAGTAGAAATGCAATATTTTGTACTAATTGCAAACAGGAAGATCTGTAATACTGGCTGCATGATTTGTCCCTTACATGTGCTCAGCTATAACGATCTGAATTTAGTACCGCATTTGTTAATATTAGACGCAAATTTATCCTGACACTTTTATAGGCAAAGCCTCGGAAACATTTAGTCATGTAAAATATCATCATAGTCTTGAAGTATTTGCTTTTGCACTTGTGCATTGTAGGCAGGATCTTACTTTATAACCTTATCTCTATTGCTGATTTAGGAGAATGGTTTGGAGAGGTTATTTGGGGCCCTGATTATGTGATAGGTGTTAATCTATAGGGCACCCTTATCAAAGGACCAGTTGTTTACAATATGTGAATATTCTGCATCTCTGTATGCTCTTCAGATCTTCCTGTCATCATGAACACACATTGTTTTTCATTTGCATCCCATTTCCAATATCTGTTGTCCAACATTTTAGACCAGAGGGCAAATAAAAGTTGCTCGTGGCTTAAGTAAAATATTTTGTGTCAGAATAAAATAGCACTCTGTTATGTAAAGGGCACAATGCTCCTGTGTGTTCACCTTATAACTTCATGAGCCGGGCTTGTATGAAAGCTTTGAAAAAAATCCCATGGCTGTCATATCCATAAGTCTTTCTGACCCATTCAGACAGATGTTAGTATATTACTTGGAGCATATTATAAAACTTACCTTTCACTTATGGAAATTTGCTTCAATTTTGTTTCTCAAAAGCAAATACAGAGACTATAAGACACGAGATAATAATAGACCTTTGGACACAGAGACATAAAATGAAATGTATGAGCCCTTGAAAGAGCAATTAAATACATTTTCATTTCAACAACTGAAGATGAGGAACCAAAACAGATGGGCAGGGGGTAGAATAGATGAGAGCAAAATCAGTATTCATCATGGCTCTTGGCATTTCAACTCAGCAATTTACTCGGCAGTAGATCACAGTAAATCAGCTCTAGTTCTGCATTCCACTCACTAGTTCATTCTTGCATGAAGTAAAAACTGAGAAAGCTGTGCGTATTTCTGGAACCATCCATATTATTATCAACAACCTGACTCAAAGTCATCTTGGAAATAAGTTGTACATTATTTCTCAATTAGAGAAGAGGCTACCAAAGGGTTCCTCAAGAACAGACCACCTTAGAAAGCATGATGAGATATCATATAATTAGACAATTAGGATCTTGAAATTGAAAAATAAAAGAACAAGTTATTTGCTTATATTCTGAGAACATCTTCCAATAATACAAGTTCACTAAAGTCAAATGGAACTTGCTTAGGCTCAGTGATAAAGGAACTTTATATTTGTACAAATACTTGCATTTAACCTATGAATTGCAAGTTGAGAGTCTCAGACTTGGAACCACACTCAAAATCATTCAAAATCATTGGGAAGAATATCTGTCATCTGTGTTGTCACTCCAGAATTCACAGTGATAGCTATGTACAGGATATCTTCATCATTCTGGAGGTCAGCATATTGGGCAGAGTCAGTCACAGGATGGCCCCATTCACTCAGTAGACACTCAGCTGGTGGCCAGCTAGCCAGCCCCTCCTTCTGCCATATTACCTCTCTCTCAAAGAGGCTGACCTAGGAATGTGCTCCAGAAGCAAAGTTCCAGATGTATGGAAGCAAAAGCTATAAAACCCTTGAGGCTGATGCTTAGATGTCAAAAAATGTCCCTCTGTCACTGTTAAAAAGCCAACCCATATTTGGGGAGAAAGGAAGTAGAATTTATGTCTTACAGGGAGTAGCAGCAAAGAAGTTGTAACTATTTTTAATCATCCCCAGCAATGACTGTTCTTTGATCTGGTCAACAACCTGCAGGCGTGATGTCTTCCCTGGTAATGTTTGGTGCTTGCTTTCTTCTTTCCCCTCCCTCCATTCCAGTACCTCTTTCTGGGTTAACCCTGAAGAATGATACCCTCTGAAGACATCAGCACAAGCCTCTTTCTTCAGATCATTCCCTGGCTATCAGCTGATAGGACTATTTACCCTTTACCCTACTTACATTCAGATATTTCCTGTTTGACCAGTATCTTCCCCAGCCTTCTCTCCATCTCAGGAACTTGAGTTCATGCCATCCTCAGATACTGAGCTTTGCCATTGTTAGTCCAAAATATTTTCTTGTTCTTCTTTGACACAATTATGACTATACAAATATTTATTGAATGTTGGCTGTGTTCAAAACAGTTTCCTAGGCACTGTGATCAAGATGTTTTAGATCTTTTTTGAGTAAGGAAAAAATGATCTATAAATATGTAAGCGATGAAATATGGCAGCCATTGTATGTATGAGCATTAATATAATAAAACAAGGGGGCCGGGGATTTAGCTCAGTGGTTCCAGCGCCTGTCTTGCAAATGCAAGGTTCTGAGTTTAATTCCCAGTACCAAACTAACTAACTAAATAAAATACAATAAAACAAGGGGGTGCAGGAGTGACTGGTGAGTAGTTCAAGTGACGGTGACTTCAGAGCCATCGAGGCCTTCTCTGAGGAAGTCACACTTGAACCCTTGACCTGAACACCCAGGAGCCAGGTGGATGAAGATTAACAGTCCTGGGTAGAGAAGACAGCATGCAAAGTGACCTCCTCTGAATCCTTCCTCTCCTTAGCCCTGAGCATCTGCACCACTTATTTTTTGCCCAGTAGTCCTAAACCCTGGCTGCAAGACAGAATCCATCATCTGGAGTCTTTTTAAAATATGCACAGATGCCTGGATCTTACCACAGGCACAGCAAACACGCGTCTCCAGAGAAGGGGAGGGTAACGGCCCAGGTGCCTGTGTTTTACAGATTCCTGTGTGATTCCATGTGCAGCCAAAGTTGGGATTCGCTGATCTCCACCAGGCTTGTCCACACTTTCTCGTGCATCTGTCACGTGGAACCTTTCTCTGGGGCAGACTGATTTACAAGATCTGGGCACAGCCCAGGACTGCACACATCTGGGCTGGGTGTCCCGGGCTGCACCAAGACTACCGCCCTGGTTGGTGCTCACAGCGTGGTACACAGAGGAGCTGTATCGACCGCACTGGGGAAATTGTTGGGAAAACATATTCTCAGGCTGAGGATCAGAAGCTGGGGAATTCCATCACCTCGTGAGACAGAAACCTGGTGCGTGGCCCAGTCCTGTGTGTTTCAGGAAGTCCTTCGGGTGATTCTGAGGCCCAGTGTAGGTAAAAAGGCAGCCTGCAGATCTTAGGTTTAGACATGGTCAATTTGGTCGTTAATTGTGCCCCTTGCTGTGTTTTCTGCAGTCGTTTCTTGTAGATTAGTCTGTTGGAACTTGCCCTGCACAAGGGATGGACCACAGTGCTCTCTTCCTTTTACTTACGGCTCTGGTCAGAAGAGTAAGACTCACAGCTGTAGTTCCAGACCTGTGCTCCCACCCCACTGCTCTGTTTTGCTCAGCTTGTAAAGCCTTGAGGACATGCAAAGCCCTGCAGGTGATTCTCCAGGGCCGCCGGTGTCGCCTGGGAGGAGCTGATTTATTAAGAGCCCTGCTAGGGCAGTTTAATCCCTGGGAAAGGACATTGTAACTCACCTCTAACTGCTGCCCTATCCAAAAATCACCCTCTGTACTATTCTCTTTGTTTACAAGCTTCTCTTAATGGTTTTCTCTCCATTAAGCCACTGGGGGGAGGGGAGGTGCTATTTAGGGAAGGAATTGAATTCTTGCCAGTTTTGGGCATGGTCCAATGCTGCTCCAGACCTCAGTGTTGGCCAGGTTATGTGTTTTCCTCTCTTCTAAGGCCTTCATGGTTTTGATATCTCTCTCTCTGCACAGTAAAGACAGAAACTGTAACCCTGTGCATGCATTCACGCATGTGACAGATAGAGCCACACGTGCTCCTTTGGTGGGAAATCTCACTTCATTACTCCACAACACAAAACCAAAAATTGCCAAGTAAATTACATCTATACTTTTTTTATTCCCTCCAAAGAATCAGTGTTAAGCATAGAAATCACACTGTTTTCTGAGATGCATTTTATAATGAGACAATGCATTTTTCTCTCTCCCCGTCCCTCTCCAGCACTATCAAACTTGCATGGTTCCTCTTTCTAATTACTGAAATGATCAGAGGTGCAATACTTGTTTTAAGTAGCATCTCGGCTACATATAAACAAAACAAAACTCTCCTGAGCCTTAGCAGTTGTTTATCTATGATACAGGAACAGGATAATTTTCAGGGTTAGGATTTGTAGTTGCACTGAATTGTGAGTGATAAAAGCTAAAGGAACCATTTGGCTAAAATGGAAATAGTTTTACTTTGCTATTTTGTGCTTCCCCTCTCCTTTACTGCTTTTGCAATTGAGCGTCTTTTTTTCCCCCAGAATCAATTGATTCCTTCTCTTTGGTGTTTCTATTGAATCATCCTCTGTATTTCAGGCTCTGGGTGACAGTCATATCTCTTATTTGATGGTTTCATCTTTTCCACATGTCATCCATTCAATAGCATTAATTATCTGAGATGAGTAGCCTTGTCTTTCACGGAATTATGCTTAGCCCATAAACTATTTCATAGCTGAAGCCTTTGAACATCTGGCTGGGGTGGCAGAAGTAAATATTCTCTGCCGGTTTGGTTTCACAGTTTGCGGAGATGAATGTACTGGCCTTCTTCTCGGAAGTCTTGCTCACCTGGAGCAGATGACCATGAGAATCAACCTCACTGGCCCTCTGCCTGCGCCATACAAAATCCTGTATGGTCTGGAAAATACGACGCAGGAGCTAAAGGTAGGTTGCTTCAGCAATGGCGAGAGCCAAGGCCTAAACGATAGAAGCTTCCCTAGCTGTGTTGATTGGCCATCATTGGCAGCTGCTTTCTCCATGCGCCCAGATAGAGGGACGCAGCTGTTGGTGATGTCCAGAGACTTTCAAATACATTGTTTTTCAAACTTGAGCACTATAATGTACAGACTGTTGATAAAGGGCAAGAGTCTCATGCATCCCCCACCATTAGGCCTAAATTAGTTTTATTATGTGACTTTAAAATGTACAAACATAAAATCAGGTATGTACTCCTTATACTTATAGCTCCATAAAATCAAAACAAATTTATCCTTACAAAAACCTACAAAATAGATAAAATTCAAATTAAAAACAGTCTAAGGTAACATGATTTTGCCAAAAGTAAATTGTTTCTTGCAGCAAGAACATAACATTAACTACTTCTACGTGAGTTCTGTCCTCCGAAGGTGACTCAGTTCTCCTCCCTTCCTCAGTTGAACTGGAGAGCCCCTCGCAAGGTGTCCCAAAATGACACTTGGCATCACTTGACAGATGCAGGTGACTTCAGGGCTCAATTTGTCACATGCTCGAGCACCCACTCTCCTGTGGGCCCTGAGAGCAGGCACGGCGACCGAGTCTCCAGTGTCTTCCCTCGGACCCACAGATGCTTACGTTAACTCTGAAGGTTATTGTCAAAGGAAAAGCCCAAGATGAAATTTTTATTCTGGAGAACTAGAGAGCACACCCACATGCCCCAGTGTGAGAAGCACTAAAGAATCTTTAAAGCTTTTGGTGGCGAAAGGGGTAGGAAGAAACATTAAAGAAGTTGGGGTTGTTTTTAAAAGATGAGAGGTGAGTAATTGCACGCTATCAGAGCATCTGTAGAAAAGTCACAGCGTACTCTAAGGTTGCACTTTGCTCTCTAGCAGGATCTTGACTCCTATATTGTCACTACCCTCAGGAAGCTTAAATTCTACGTGATTAAGAAAAATCACTAAACAATAATTAAGCAATTAGCAAAACACATAATTACTATGTGCTTTATAAAGATTTGCAGTAAAGTACAAAGCTTTAAGAATTAGTAAGTTCAGAGCAACTAAGGGAGGAACCACTAACGAGAGCGGGAAGAAGAAATCTAAAATCTCTTCCTCTGCCAATACCAGATAGTCATCCAGGAAATAGATTCTTTAATCCTGACTATAGCCTTATTGTTATCCCTGTTTTCCAAAAAAAGAAACTAATGACTATAGCAAGAATGACTACTGATATTAATTGCAAAGCCAAGCAATCAACTAAAGTCTTGCATGGATTATGTGCATAACTCATTGAGAATCTCCAAGAAGTACGAAGAGAGTCTGTCATGGGCTGATTGTCTGTGTCCCCTCGAAGTTCATATGCTAAAACCCTTAGTGTGTCTAGGTTGTTAAAAGAGATTGCCATAGACTGGGTGCCTTATAGGAAACAAATTTATTTTTTGCAGTTCTAGCGACTGGGAAGTTCAAGGCGGATTCTGTGTCTGGCCATTCCTCACAGGTGGTACCTGCTTGTTGTTTCTCATGGGAAAAGCAAACAGTCAGCTCTCTAGAACTGCCCTAGGGTATCTTCTAGAAAGGAAGGAGTCCACCCTTGTTCTCATGACCTAACACTTCCTCACACCATCACCCCAGTGGTTGGTGTTTCAGCAGAGGAATTTGGGAGGGACTCAGACATTCCCTACTCACAGGAAACCCGAACCCACAATGTGAGGGCTTTGGAGAAGTAATCCGTGTTAGACTGGGGCCTGAAGGTGAAGCCCTGATGACGGGAAAAGTGGCCTCATAAGAGTGGAAAGACAGCCCTCTTTCTCTCTGTCTGCCGGTTGAGGACACAGGAGGAAGACAGCCTTGGGCAGAGGCTCACCAGGACCCAAACTGGTGAGCACCTTGATCTTAGCTTCCAGCCTCCAGAACTATGACCATTCCAGGCACGCTGTCTGTAGTGCTCTTGTTACAGCGGCCTGAGCCAAGATGCAAGAACTGTGCTGCCATGTTTTCTAGGTAACAACTCCGAGGTACAGGAGTTTTTCAAGAGGCGCAAGGTTACATGGCTACCAAGTGCAGAGGCAGCATTTGAACAATGCAGCTGTCTTTGCAAACACTAAAGAGCAACTGCCTTCCCCAGGCAGACCCAGGAGGCTTTTCCTGACCCTCTGCCCATGCACACTCTTGCCATTGAATCATGCCTGGGAGGCAGGCGTATGAATGGAGCTGTCTGGCAGACACGGAAGTCACACCTGCTGGAGAAAGATAAAGGTGGAGAGCAGAGTGGGCCAGGGTGATACCAAGGAAAAGCTTGAAAGCCAGAGTAACCTGAGTCTACATTGGAGCCCCCACGTTCACAGAGGTAGACAGTTCTCACAAAAGAGGTGCTGACCAGTTATTTTCCACATACGAAAAGGTCATACAAAGAAAATAAATAAGAAATGCTAACATTTCAGTTAGACTTTTAAATAATGCGTAAGCAATGGATGATGAAGTACTAAGTAAGGGACTCTGAAAGAATCATGAACAAATCATGGACATCTACACCCAGGGCTTCAATAACCCACTGTGCTTTGTCTTGGGGTGGATCAGGGTGACCTGGATTACCCTTAAATTCCAATCTCTCTCGACTCTGTGTTTCCTTCCCACCCCATAGTTCATCTATCATGTTGATGTTTAAGATTCCATTTTGGTAATTTTCAAAGTTGAAGCTGATTATTTAACCTGCTCATTCAGTTTCTTTTACTATGTCCATTTCCCAGATTCCGGCCAAAGACCCCCAAGAGCACACGTGGAGAGGAGCAAAGTTGGATTTATTAACTCACTGCAGCCACAGCGAGTGGTGGGGTGTCTCAAGGAGAGGCTATGAGGAAAAACAGAGGACCTGGGTGTCTGCTAGTCAGTTAGGGGGAAGGTTCCAAGACACAGGAGTTCTGTGCTGCATTGTGTACAATTAGTATGAAGGTGTGATTCTGCAATTAAGTAGGTTAAAGAATCTTATCTAGGAAAAGGGGCTAAAGCCATGATAATCAAAGAGGCCCTAGTCACTCCTATTAGCCAGGGACTTTTGTGGTTTACTCAAGATATGGTGATGTCTGTGCTTAGACAAGATTACAGCGTAGTTTGATATTCTTTTTCTCCATCACTACCATGGAATAATCCTCTCTAACATGAGTGCCACCTGAGTTGGCTTCTATTCAGTAGGAGAACACAGCTCAGCTGGACACCAGACCAGCTCCTGCCATCGTGAGGCCAAGCCAGTTAGCACTTAGCTGGATCCCCGTGTGGGGCTGTTATTCTCTCTTCCTTATAAACTGCATTGCTGTTGTCTGGAATAAGAGCCTTAACCTCTGCCCATTACTGGCTGAATGATCGTGTGTAAATGTTGAACTCTCTTGTAGTCACGTTTTGCTCGTCCACGAAATCAGAATGGCATTTACCTCCAAGGGATCTAGTAAGAATTAAGTGGGGGGAAAAGAAAAGAAAAGAAAAAAGAAAGGAACAAGCCTAGCACATAGTAATTTCTCAATAAATTACTGCAATTTTTACTATTAGCCTGAGTATTTGGAATAAGACTCAGTGTATAAGCACTTACTTGAAAGTTTTTCTCTTTCCTGAAGGTAAAAATTCTAAGATCTTTGTGTACATAGGAAAAATGTGCTCTGCTCAACCCTGTGGTCACTGCAACGTTATTGGGCAAAATGCTTATGGGTGAACTCTTTTTCAGCACCTACTCTCCCCTCAGCGGGCCCCAGAGAAGCTCATTCATCTGGCAGAGGACAATCTGAACACACTGGTGACAGAAATGAATGAGCTTCTGACCAGGGTAAGTCAGAAAAATCACGACTCTTCCTGAAAGCAGCTATAGCCTAAGACTTTGGTTTCTGTGGAAATTAAGAACAATGACTTCAAAATTCTGAGATATAACCCTTGCTCTGTATAATTTCCCATTTGGTGTGTGGAAGGGGTATATTATGATTTGCTACTTCAGCTACACATCTCAGAATCAGGTACCGGCCTCTTCCCACCCACCCCCAAAAAAACCATAAACCAAGTTGGTGTACTTGGGAAGTACCAAGTGAAAGGGGTCGCGCGTGCCCCTTC